ATTAGGATATTAGGTAAAGATCATGTTCCATAGGATATTTTGTAAATTTCCTACTGTAAATATATCAAAACTTAATTCTTGATTAGTAATATGCATTGCTAATAACTTCATTTGGACAACTTTAAAGATGATTTTCTCAATATTTAGATTTTTTTGCACCCTCAGATTCCAGATTTTCAAATAGTTGTATCTCGGCTAAATATTGTCCGATCCTAACAAACCATACATCAATGGAAAGCACATTTATTCAACTTTCATATCATGTATACATCTCCATTTAAAAAAATGTACCCTTATGACTGGTTTTGTGGTCCAGGGTCACATATATAAAAAACTTTTCAACAAATACGGTTTTCTTTTTCACAAAATAAGACTGAAGATTTTTCAAATGATATAAACATATCCGCTTTAATGCACTTATCAAAACAAAAGAAGTCACATGCCGAAAGTTTTGTTTAAAGACAAAAAGAAGTATTCAAAATATATCATTTAATTTACAAACTGCAAAAGAAGTGGTAAAAAATGTGCAATTGCTTTATTTAACGGCACAGTTTATGAATAAATACTATTTTTCGTATTCAGTGATAATTAAGTTTATGTGATTAAGTGATAATACAAGACATCTGCACCTATCAAATGATTGTCAAAAGCAAAAATGTTATACAAATTGCATAATATTTTGTGTGAAAGTGTGACAATGCTATAGCAAAAAAGCCACTATTTTTGGAATTAGCAGCACAAAACTAGTAGAATTTCGCTCAGCAAGTGTGATGCAGGACAGTGAATGCTAAATGGTGTACTTGAGCTGTGACACAGAAAGCTAAGCAGAGACCTCTAGTGTCAGAACCAGAGAACAACAAAAGCATCCTGATTTCCTCGGAGCAGCAGATGCTGTCGTCTGCATCAGTAAGAAGCATCAGTAACACACTGACCTGAGCTGCGTCTGGAGTTCGGTGAAGCGCGGCCGTTTGCTGGGGTCATACGACCAGCATTTGGTCATCAGGCTGTAGAGGGTCGGAGGGCAGTTCTGGGGCATCGCTAACCTCTCGCCGTTCTCTATCCGCCCGATCACGTCGTTATTCTTCACGCCCTGGAAAGGCTTGATGCCGAACATGAGGATTTCCCACATACACACACCTGAGAGGAGACAGACACGGATCAGAAATCTGCCTCAGTCATCACAAATGAACAAAAATAAAGAATACAATACAACAATTATTACAGAACAATATATTTAAAAAAATGGTAGGTCATATTATATTTAAGGGGAGACACTGCAGGCCAAAAACACTTTTTTCATGCACCTGTCAATTTTTAGATTTTTGGCTTTTCATAAAGTGTTTTTTCAGACTAGTGGAAAGAAAACATCCAAAAGACACTGTTAAGTGTTTCTTTTATAGCACTTTATCTATTTGTGTCAATATATTTAAATTACAATACATATTTTTAAAGGCCGTTTTCTCAAAATGAGAACACTGAGCTATAAATCTCCACTTACACACACCAAACTTTACATTTTTATTCCTGTCTATATCCTGAAGGTTTTTACAGAGGGATTTGTTCATATATCATTTTCTTGATTATATACAACATTTTATTCCCCCCAAAATTTTGAAAATAGATTGTTTTCTGGCTGTTCAAAGTATTTTCTGAATTATGGAGTGACAAAAAGAGATACCCAGAATTCCCTCGGTAAAAACATTTGACTCTAATATGTCAAAAAAAATTAAACAAGAATTTTGAAACTGACTTCATCCAGTGTTCAGATTTTTGTACTAGAAATGTATGCAAATTAGCGCATATTTCATTAAATAATGCATCATTTGCATATTTAAACATAACATTTTAGAAAACTTGTAATACAAAAAATGTTTGCAATTATCAATGTAATCAATCAACTGGATAAGGAAGGTGAGGACTATTAGTTAATTTCTTTACCCTATTCACCTGCAGTGTCTCGCCTTAAAATACTGTATATTTAGGTGCATAGAAATATATATATATTGCACACAAATTTGCAATATTTTGGTCAACGTTGCTTAAGTCTGAGGAAGGTCGATTGACCAAATCATTAAGAATTTTTTATTTGATTTCATTCATTTATTTTAGTGATGATGCAAGCTAAAGTTCTGTGCAGGATTAATATATTAAAAAAAAAATTATAATCTAAAAGATAGTATAGTAAAGTTAAATTGAATAGTAAAATTGATCAAATGAATACTTTTAATAATAATGTAAAAAACTAAAACTGCATTAATAACAGAAAGATGGTGTTAAAGGATTAGTTCACTCCAGAACAAGAATTTACAGATGATTTACTCACCCTCTTGTCATCCAAGATGTTCATGTCTTTCTTTCTTCAGTCGTAAAGAAACTATGTTTTTTGAGGAAAACATTTCAGGAATTTTCTTCTATGGTGCCCGCGAGTTTGAACTTCCAAAATGCCGTATAAATGCAGCTTCAAAGCGCTCTAAACAGTGCGGTATTACAGTGTTCGCGCCGCGGCTCAATGGACCGAGCTGCGCGACCGACTCGACAGCGCAAAGAGGACGTGTTTACTAGCGCCACCGAACTGACAGCGCGGCGCTAATATTCCTCTCCGCAGAAGTTCGTGTTTTTTTCCTGCACGTAACATAATGAAGATCAGTATTAAGTTATTACATTTATTTTGCTTACCTTTCTACTACACGTAAACAGTTGTACTTTGAAAAACTGCAAATATAAAATATATAAGACTTTAATAAATTTACAATACCGTTCTACATTCAGCACAATATTCATTCAAATTAACCATGATTTTATTACACTAACCTTTTAACCATATATTTGTAGTTAAACTGTGGGTTAAAAAAATGACAATCAATCCATGGTTACTGCACTTTTACTATAGTAAAACCATTGTTAATTTCCGTATTTCCATAAGGGAAAATGTATGTCCTGACAGAAAAGTATCAGTACATTTTACTCTTTTTTTCAAGTATAATCATATGCTACAGTTACAAAAATATCCTTAAATGTAAAATTTACTTAAATATGCCTTGATGAACGAAACCATAAAATATTTTAATTCTAAGAGGATAATGGAAGTTTCTGCTGTGAACGTGACTACTAAATATAGGCTATACGTGCTTCAAAGTAGCTAACACTACTGTTTACATGTAGTAATATGAAAGATAATAAGCAAAAGAAATGTAATAACTCTTCATTATGTTATGTGCAGGAAAAAAACACGAACTTCTGCGGAGAGTAATGTTCGCGCTGTGCTGTTGTAACTGATCAGCGCCGCGCTGTCAGTTCGGTGGCGCTAGTAAACATGTCCTCTCTGCGCTGTCGAGTCGGTCGCACAGCTCGGTCCATTGAGCCGCGCTGATGACAGGTCAGATCGGCGCGAACACTTACCGCGCTGTTTCGTCCCACTTTTGGGTTGTTTGGCTTCCCATAGTGAACTCTGTCACTGGGTCGGTACTTCTGCAGCGATGTAGGACGATTTTGAAGTTGGAGGAGAAAATGAGATGGGAGTTTTTAGACCTACCCTAAGTGCACAGAGTACGCATGCGCATCGCAGAGCTAGACAAGACGAGCATTTGTGGTTAAAAGTGTATAAATTGTAATTTTGTTTTTAGAAAATAACCGATCGTTTCGCTAGATAAGACCCTTATTCCTCGGCTGGGATCATTTAGAGTCCTTTGAAGCTGCATTTAAACTGCATTTTGGAAGTTCAAACTCAGGGGCACCATAGAAGTCCATTATATGGAGAGAAATCCTGAAATGTTTGCCTCAAAAAACATAATTTCTTTACGACTGAAGAAAGAAAGACATGAACATCTTGGATGACAAGAGGGTACATTATCTGTCAATTTTTGTTCTGGAAGTGAACTAATCCTTTAAGGGAGCATGTTGATGGTGTTCAGGAAAAATCTAACTGTTAGAATGCAGTACCATGAAATATTCATCTTCCAATTTCTAAAAAACGTTAAGCACTCACCGAACATCCAGACGTCGCTGGCCGAGGTAAACCGACGGAAGTTTATGGATTCAGGAGCCATCCATTTGATCGGCAGTTTCCCTTTAGAAGCTGGAAAACACACACTACTGTTCACACACTATAAACACTCAAACATGCCTTCACTATCCACCAGAGGCCGCTATATCCTTACTCTGGTAACATTTCTGAGGGAGGCCTGTTTGCATTTATCAGAACTTTTTCCAGAAGCTTTAATCCTTTTTCAGCCTCTAAAATGCACAGCAAGTCAGCAATTACAGGAAGTGTTTTAATGAAAACTTACATGACTTCCTGTGGACATACTTTAGACGTCTATTAGATTTTCACTGACAGCCCAAATTTAGCCTCGTTTTAGCCTAGACATCTAGGCTATATTTAGACGTCTAATAGACGTCTTTTAAACGCAAAATTGCTCGCTGGGTACACACTGGCCCAGCTAACCAATCACAGCACATTTCGTATTTCAGAAGGCGGGCCTTCATTTAATACAGGAACTATTCGAGCCGTTCGTGCCAGACTGGGGAGAGAGGTGTTGTAATAATGTAAAATATGTGAAAAATAATGTGTTTTTCGAACAACCTAGTATGAGAGCCTGTTCTAGTACACCCCCAAAACAAAATCAAGACTTTGTAAAAGAGCATAATAGGACCCCTTTAAATGCTTGTAAACGGCAAGTAAAAGTGCAGTTTGACATACCTTTATAATAGGAGCTGTCCTCCATGTATCTGGAGAGACCGAAGTCACCAAGCTTCACACAGTCTGTGGAAGACACCAACACGTTCCTGGCAGCAATGTCCCTGCAACAAAACACACATTGACCTCAGCGCACTATGAGCAGGAGACTGAGGAAAGTCTGTTCTGAGCGTGTGAAGATCTTCAGGCACCTGTGCACGAAGCGTTTGCTCTCCAGGTACGCCAGCGCTGTGCTCAGCTGGTAGGCGAACAGAATCAGCGTGGACAGGTCCAGGTTGTACTTCCTTATTTGCAAGAACGACCTCAACTAAAATGAAGATGATTCCGGATGATTTCATAGAGTCTAAAATCTGTGCCAGTTTAACGAATGAAAACACAGTCTGACCTCTCCAAGCGTGCACAGCTCCATGATGATCCAGACGGGATTTTCAGTGATGATTCCAATCAACTTCACAATGTGCGGATGGTCGAACTGCCGCATTGTCACTGTCAATCATAAAATCACAGATATTCTCACTGCATCACATGCAAAACACTTTCGCAAAATCAGTCTGGTTTAGTGGCATTCTGACTTCTCTCAAAGCGTGCAAATGCGGTAGTTGTGACTTCCTCATATTCAACTTCAAATAAACTAAAAATACATTCCAATTTCAAATGAAATTAGACTGCGATGCATCATGTGTTCAGATGGAACAGCTATGGTAAAAAAAGAAACATCTCAAAGTAGAAGTGCATCAGCTGAAATGAATTCTGAAGTGAAGGTCACTAGTGTTGATACTCACGAGCTTCCTGCAGGAACTTCTCACGCACGCTGTCTGAGGTGCAGTTCTTACACGTCTTAATGGCCACTGATAACGATGGATTCTCCTGTCAGGGAAAGCACATGCAACTCAAAAACTACGAGCATGAATTCATGAAGATTACAAATTAAAAGTACACTGTAGTAAAACCGTACGCCCACAAAGTCTGACATTTTAGTTTGTCTTAACAGCTTCAGAACACAGTAAAGAGCAGTAGGGAATAGGTTAAAAAATTCATTTGGAACATCTTGAAAAAATATATAATTATCAATAGAAAATTTATTATAAATGTTATTATATTATAATATTTTGTATATCATAAATACCGTTTAAAACCTGCTTATCTGTGACGTTAATAGAATAAAATACACATGAAAATATACATACAAATCTGATAAAAAAAACATTTAATTGTTAACATTATTTAAAATTTAAAATGTACTTATTTGAATAATAACAATAATAATAATAAAAAAAGATTGCTCAAGACCTCACTCAGTTGAAAGATGGTTTGGGTCAAATGTTGGATTGTATTTACTAATAAACCTAGATATTATATAAATTATTTGATCCAAATATATACATTTTTATTATATAAAAATGCATATTCCATATAAAATGTATTCCATAAATTTAACAAAAATATTTGCTTGATCAATAGAGAGCTAGTTTGGGACCAAATGTTAGATTGTACTAACCAATAATCACATATTATATAAACTTTTCTGTTTTATAAAATTATATATTTAAAACATACTTCTTAACAAAAAAAATTTACTTGATCATTGTTAATAATAGGGTTTTAAGGTTGAGCTTAATGAATGCAGTCAAATCTACTCTACTGCTCATGTTATGTTCAGTTTATGCTAAATAATAATTTTGTATAATTTTTAGTAGTTCTCACTCTAAAAACAAGGGATTCTGACATTAACTGATTTAGGAAGAGAATTAAAAGAGCCACCAGTTTGGACTCTATTCAGGGCAAATGCAGTGTTTGTTTGATTAATATTTCTGTGGACTGTGTGTTTACCGGACTGATGTAAACCCCTTGGTGGACGTCCCCAAACTGGCCCTCGCCGATACACCGTCCCAACTCGATTCTGTCCCGCTGGATCTCATAGTCCTGAGCTACAGATGAAGAACAAACATCACAAACCCGAAGCTCAGCATCAGAGGAACCAGCAAACCACACACTCTGATCGTCATGTAAGTTCAGAAGACGAGCAGCTGTGACCGAGATCAACAAACCTTTAGCACAATATTTACTGAATGCAGAGCTCAGCCATTTAACAAAGTGTTTGAAAGTCGCCAATTGCAAGTTTAGAAACACTGAGGTCATGAACAAAAGACCTTAGTCAGGGTGGACGCCATAATTAATTGTGAACGGATGAAGACGAGGCTGTGAGAGACAGAAGGACTGTCTCTAGATGACAAAAAATTGACTATGAATATAAAGGAAACCTAAAACATTGAGACGACACATTGAACAAACTGCAGACTCATTTTCATTTGTCTTAATAAATATGAAGTCCACTCTAACTAATGCACTGCACAATGTTTTTAATAAAGTCCTCAATGTTCTGTAGAAATCATGATATAGCAAAATAAAAAACCAAAAAATACATAAATGCACAATTGATTTGAAAAATAAATATTTTTTAACATTTCTTTACTGTGATTTTTGAATATCAAAGTAAACAAAAATATCATAGTAAAAAAATATTGCTGAATATTACAGTAAAAAAAGAAAATAAAAATCATAGTGAATCCAAACTTTTAAAACCAACAACAACAACAACATAAATAAAATAAAATAAAAACGCACCATTTATTAAAAGAAAGAACAAATAACTATTTGTTTATAAATTCAAACAAACAAACAAAAAATATTATTGAGCAAAAAACAAAACAAACAAAAAACAATAATAATCTATTGTTTGGCTACATATCAATGACTTCTGCAGGTTTTTTAGTTATACAAAGTATTTAATGTCAAAAACATATAAATGGGATATTATTAATAATGACATAAGTATAAATTATATTACAAAAAACAATAATATAAAGATGCTTAATGATAATATAAAGCCTTAAAGATGCTGTGTGGCATGTTTTGGATGTTAAAATACCTTTTTTTATATCCCAGCTTCTATAGTTTAGATCGTAGCACTAACAATGGTAAATCATGGGTTTGACTCCCATGAAACGCACAAAAATATTTTTATGAAAACCTGCGTTAGTCTGTGATATGAGGAGGAACCTGCATCTAACACAAGCACAGCGCAAAACGGAGAGAGAGAGAGAGAGAGAGAGAGAAACAGAAAAGAAAGAGAGAAGAACTGAAAGAAGCACACAAACAGAGGGATGGCGTTACCTGCGTCTAATCCATAGCATTCGGCTGGTTGTTAAAGAGAAAAGGCAGAGATTGGGCTTTTAGATCAGAATTAAAGCTCAGGATGAGAGAGAGAGAAACAGAGGGATGAGATGTGAAGAGCTGCACACACTTATCAATCACAGACATGTCAAACACTCACCACAGAGCTGTTATAAAACATAGCATATTATACAATTTAAGTAGAGGACAACATAAAAATTCCCTGGAAAATGAGCAATAAATTATAAAAACTATTTCAGTGAATCTGCCATTAATAAAATGACAAAAATCCTGTAAGCATTTACTCACCTGTCATTTCAAAGCATAAAACACATAAAATGTTCATGCTGCTCATTTACAAACAAGCGACTGATGAATGGTGTAAGAAAAATAAATGTAATTCAAAGGGAAAACAAGCTTATTTTTCTTACCCCACTGGCATATATAACGTAATATTACATAACTTATTTCATGTTGTTTTGCATCTCAATTAAATGTATCTATTTAAGAACAGCAGTGAGGGAGCAAAAGTGCAATAAAAATAGTTCTCATGACTCATGTACAATGTTTATAGTCCTCTGAAGGGGCATTTTTGAAAATTTTTGCCTTTAGAAGACTTTTAATACAGTGTGAGAGTCATACAAACGACTTTTTTTGTTCTTTAGGAGCTCGACACTCAGCTGACAAAAATATGTTCTAAGAACATTTTGCTAATGTTCCCATTAAGTTTTTTCTTAATCTTCTCAGAAGGTTCAAAATGTCAGTTTTAAAAATGTTTTTTTCCTGGTTAAAGGGATAGTTCACCCCCATGTTTTTTTTTACTCTCATAGATTTTGTTACCATTGCCATGCATTATACGACTGATAGACTGCAACGGTTAAAGTAAAAAATCATCAAATGTGTTCTACTGAAGAAACAAAGTCACCTACATCTTGGATGCCCTGGGGGTAAGCAGATAAACATCTAATTTTCATTTTTGGGTGAACTATCCCTTTAAGTGAACATTCAATTTTATAATTTTGCAAACGTTATCGGAATGTTACTTTTGAAAGTTCTCTGAACATTCTGAAAGCAGTAACATTTAAAAAATGTCAGACGGATGTCCAGCTAAAACGTTTCAGTAAAAAGTTCCATGAACAATGTATAAACACTTTTTTGTGCTAACGTTTTGAGAATGTTATTAAAGACCAGATAACTGTAAACAAAACATTCTGTCTAAATTACTAGAAGACTTTTCAGAACCTTGAGAGAAACTTGCCAGAACGTTCTCTGTTAGCTGGCCAGCCACCGGAAACCATCTGCTTTCATTGACTGGAAAAGAGCAGCATGAACATTCTGCTAAACATCTGCTTTTGTGTTGCACTGTAAAAAAAAATCATGGTTTTGGAACGATATGACGGTGAGTAAATGATGGCAACTTTTCATTCAGCTGTCTTGAAGACACTCGTATAACACGCAGATTGAGTCGGTGTGTGTTCAGAATCCTGTGATTGTTTGTAAAGTCACACACTCGTGAATGTTAGTGTGCAGTCGCTGACTCACACACACTCACTAAATCAGGACACATCACGGACCTCCAGTGTGTTTATATAAAGCCAATTCAGATCCAAACCCTAAAAGGAACCTAGCAATTTTACAGATGATTAATACTTTATGAATCCTTTTAACTGTTAAGGACGTCCCCGAAGCAAATATGCCAGACTGAGTTCAATCCAAACACATACAGGCTTCATTTTCAGAATTACGCCCAAATATGACCTGCTTTAATTCCAAATGTGATGAATCAAACGTTTTAAAGTGTGACACAAACTGAGTTTCCAGAGAGAATATTCTGGAATGTCAGAGCTGGATACTTTAAATTTCATTTGCCGCCACATCAACAAACCAAACGAGCCAGACAGGGAGAAAAAAAGGTCAGGATTTGGACAGAAACATCTGGATCCCGGAAGACAGCAGTTACACACACTTAAAAGGCGGCACGAGTGAGGGTACTTACTAGAGGGCATGGTGTAGGTGTCCTCCTCATCTATGATCTCTGCGTAGTCGTCTGTTTCTGCAGGGAGACAGAAGCAGCAGCGGTCAGTATCTCACACTAACGCCCACTCGGTCACTACACCAACCCCAAACACATGTAACCTTCCACTACACAAACTAGAGCCGGTCAACCAGCCAAGAAACTCCTCCATGAAGACTCTCACACACTCAAAACTCAAGTGCACTTCTCTCTTTTAAACTCTCTGAACTCCATCCGACCGGCCAATCAGAGAGCGGCTCTGTGGTCGAGCTCGAGAAAGACGAGGGGAAGGAAGTGACTCCATGTCTTCATGCAAAACAGATTTAGTCTGGGGTTTTTTTTTTTTTTTTGGTAGAGGTCACTCGCTTCTCTAAATAATTGCACTTGTGAGGAATGCAGGGAGCAGAAGAGATTTCAAGTGCACTTAAAGTGAAGCAGACTCACATTTACACACTACAACTAAACTAGAACCTATGCGAGGCTGACTAGATTGCAGTAAATTTCCAAACGCACACAGAGCAGGGAGTTAGTTAGAGGAAAGAAATGAAGATTGCAAGTCAAACATTACCATCTCCGCTTAGATCTTCTGCAGGTCCATGCAAAGAACAGAGAGGAGAAAGGTTAATTCACCAGCAGACATGAAAACACACGGTGGTCATGCATCTGAAGCGGTTCACCGGTTTATTCGTCCTCTCTGGCTGTGAGCAGCTCCTGCAGTCCTGGGAGTCATTAGTGTGGGTTATATTGGGTTAGACGTGCTGCAGGAATGTGTGGGATGAGATTCAATTGGGACGTGGACACACATCTGCCTGGATTGTTCTGCCACGGGTCTAATTCAGTGCGGTTCGCACGGAAAAATCTCTGATCTTATTTGGAGGCATTTTTATGTTTAATGCAATTAGCAAAAATAAAAACTGGGTAAGTCTCACAAAAGCGGTCAACAGCATTTCGTCGCAAAATCCATAGAAAAGCACAGATACAAAACATATTTTCCACAAAGAAAATGAAGGCTACTTTTATCAAATTTGCTGCACTATAATTTAAAATATTTATTTCTCCTCATTATAATACATAAAAATATAAATAAAAAAGTTATATTATTTTTAAAACATAAAATTCTATAACATCAAATATATAAATAATACTATATATATATATATATATATATATATATATTAGTGCTGTCAAACGATTAATCGCGATTAATCGCATCCAAAATA